TCTGCCCTGCCATCCCCACAATGCTCCTCCCTCACCCCCCCCCCACGGACCACACAGCTGCCTCCTCCTCATTCCCCCTCCCCAACACGCGACCACAGCACTGGCCCTCCTCCCTCTCCCTCTCCCCCTCCCCACGCGACCAACACACTGCCTGCCCTGCATCCCCACACTGCCTCCTCCCTCTCCCCCTCCCCCCACGCGACCACCACTAGCCTGCCATCCCGTCCCCCCTCCCCCACGCGACCACACACTGCCCCCTCCCTCTCTCTAGTACTGCACACTGCCTGTCTACTTGCACATGCAGAACGCTCCCGAGGAGTAGATGAAACCATTCCAAAGGAAGCTGTGACGTCGGCAGCATCGGATGCTGTCGCATCTGCCGAGCTATGCTGGATGTAACAATGTTGCGTGAAGCTATGCTGGATGTAACAATGTTGCGTGAAGCTATGCTGGATGTAACAATGTTGCGTGAAGGTGTGCTAGTTGAAACAATGTTGCGTGAAGCTATGTTAGTTGAAACAATGTTGCGTGAAGGTGTGCTAGGTGAAACAATGTTGCATGAAGGAATGCCAGGAGAAATGCTAGATGAAGTTGAGCTAGATGCAGCCGTATTTGCTGAAGCTTTGTTAGTTAAAGCCAATCTAGGTGAAGCCATATTTACTAAAGCTTTGCTAGGTGAAACCTTACTGGATGAACCCATATTTCGTGATGCATTGCTATGTGATGCCATCCTAGGTGACACCATGCTGGGTGACACCATGCTGGGTGACGCCATGCTGGGTGACACCATGCTGGGTGACACCATGCTGGGTGACACCATGCTGGGTGACGCCATGCTGGGTGAGGCCATGCTGGGTGACACCATGCTAGGTGACGCCATGCTGGGTGACGCCATGCTGGGTGACGCCATTCTAGGTGACGCCATGCTGGGTGACGCCATGCTGGGTGACGCCATGCTAGGTGACACCATGCTGGGTGACGCTAGGCTAGATGAGACAATGTACCGTGAATCAGATGAAGCCGTGCTCTGAGACGAGCCAGTGATCGGAGGCATCGGCCGAGACGATCGATCCCTGCCTCGCGAGGCGCGCCTCACGTTACAATGTCGTCTGTGTTCTTCATCCATCAGCTGCCACGGCGGGAGCAGCAGCAGGTCCCTCTCCCTCCCTGACAGTGGGATCCTCTCTCCCTCCCTCACCACCTCCCCCCTCCCTAACACCTGCTGAGGGATCCTCTCTCCCTCCCTCACCTCCTCCCCCCTCTCTAACACCTGCTGAGGGATCCTCTCTCCCTCCCCCCTCCCTAACACCTGCTGAGGCATCCTCTCTCCCTCCCTCACCACCTCCCACCTCCCTAACACCTGCTGAGGGATCCTCTCTCCCTCCCTCACCACCTCCCCCCTCCCTAACACCTGCTGAGGCATCCTCTTCCCCTCCTCCCTCCTCTCATCGCCTTCTCCGCGGGGGTCCGTCGCCGCCCACGCGGCGAGGCACTGAGGCGGGGATCGGATTGTCCTCGTGAAGTATCTCGCGCGTCTCAGCGCCGTCTCGCACTCGCGCGAGACCTGCTGCCTCATCCGCTTCGCCTCGGCCGTCTCCGCTGCCGCCGCCGCCGCCCCGGCCGACTTCGGGCGCGTGCTGCCATCTGGCAGGACCCTCGGCGATCCGAGCGGCCTCTGGAGGGTCGTCAGCGAACGCGACATGGCGTCGTTTGGCGACGTCTCGTCGTCGCGGCGTGACACCAGCGCCCCCTGGAGGCTCGTCTGCGAGCGAGACTCGGCGGCGGGCGCTTGTAGACGCGTGTCGCTACGCTGCGCGCGCGCGCTCTGTGACCGAGCGCGCGCCCCCGCGTTGACCCTCATCGCCGCCAGCTGGCGCTGCAGTAGCTTCATCTCGGTGGACATGGCGTGCAGCCGCTGGTCGCGCTCTCCCTCGATGTGCTGGTGCTGCCGCCGCAGTACGCGCGTCTGCCGCGCGGCGCTGATCCGCTCCGCCGCCCCGCTTCCCGCGAGCGTGCCCGAGTACAGCGACGTGCTCGCCAGGGGGCGCCGCTGGTAGCCCGGCTTCCACGGAAGCATCGCGACTCCAATCTGCAACGAGTTGTCATCGGACTGTATCAGGGATTGATTCTACTCAACGAGAATGACGGTTTTCTGTATATACCCTGTCATTGTGGTTCTCTATTTGACAAGTAGCCAGAGGTTACCTTCTCGCTTCTGGCGCTAGTCTAGAAGACATGACCCATTGCATTGTGTATTGTATTGTACTTGTAGACATGAAGTATTGTGAGACATGTCTTCTACACTAGGGCCTCGCTTCTTATTACACGGCGAGTGAAAAGCTACGCGAACAGTCGTAAAGCCTGGTCGGGGTATTTGATGGGGTGATGTACCCAGGCGCGGATGTAGGCCGGTTTGCACCGGTTTCCAGAAACCGGTCACAGGCTGGGCTATCTTCAGAAGTTGACCTCAATGTTCGCCGAGAATGCACCAACATATAGCCGTTTTTTTATAAATTCCCCGGCGGGCATGCCCCCCGGACCCCCTTCTAGCGCGTGACGTAGAACTATGGCAAAACTGGTCTCCCAAACCCTTCTGGATCCGCCCGCTGTACCCCTGCGGGCCCTGCAACTAATACAAATGTGTAAACCGCCAGGAAGAATGCAGATCGGCCGACCAAGAGGGTGTTGCCTATTTACACGGGCGTGGCGAGGGCAACAAGTCACATGTTCGCGACTTCAAAGTCCAAATCTTCCCACAGAAAGATTCCACAGTGCATACTTCCGTGCTAGACCATGGCGCTTATATCCCTAACCCTAACCCGTAACCCTAACCCAACCCTAACCCTAACCTAACCCTGATCCTATCCCTAACACAGCTGAGTGCTTGCATCTGTGTCGGTACTGCCAAAACCTCCACGACCCGGGTGGATTAGAATTTCCCAGACCCAAGACACCGTGGGCAGAAGTGTGCATGGATGCAGAAACTGAAGAGATGGTCTTCTCGTGGGGACAAGAGCAGCAGGCTGCCCAGGACAGATCCTGCTGAAGGGATACTACTAGCTATTCGTACGGCCTAATTACGTCCCATCGGGGGACCAAGACGATAAGAAGAAGTATAGAAGCCATCACGCGAACATACCCTAAATAATCCTAAATATATATATATATAACTGCTAGAATTTGCGTAGCTATAGAAACTGTGATAGGCCCTACTGCTTAAATTTACAACTTAAATTTATAAGCATATGGCTTCCTAGATACAATAATGTAAAGCAAACACAGGATAGGGTGGGTATTACCCTATCCTGTGTTTTGGTTACATTATTGTATCGAATGGCAATTTTCCACAACGGGAAATTTTGTAGCGCAAATTCCCTAGTAATACTTAAAAGAAATATAACAAATGATTGCTAAGCTATAATACTATTACTAGTAATAGTATATGTAGACTTACGTGTGGCGTATGCGTTAGCTAGTGCAGTCTCCACTCCGTGCTCTGCTTCAGTATACAACTCGTAACAGTTCCTATGATCTTGAT